GAGAGAGAGAGAGGGATTACAAATTTGAGCTCAAGATCTTCTTGTTCTTCTTCTAGGCTTGAATCTCCACCCAAGCCTCCAATGATGCTCCAAGATCACTCTATCACTCTCTCTATCACTAGAACTCCCCATTGGTCTTTAGGTTGAAACCCTAGAGAAAGAAAGTGTTTCTTCTCCCAAATACCAGCTCTCCTCGTCTCTCTCACTACTGATGTCTTCATATTTGCTTGAAAGTGATCAGTTCATGGACGCGTTGGCCAGTTCACGGCCGTGAACACCTAAACGCGTCCATGAACTCAGTCGTCTCCAAAAAGCACTGCCTTGCTTCCTCGGTTCACGGTCAATGGCCACAGTTTACGGCCTTAGAGACTGTGAACTGCCTTGTCGTCAATAACTTCAAGAACCTCGTTGGAAGCCTCGGTGTTCATGGTTTGTGGTCAAAGTTCACGGTCTTAGGAGACCGTGAGCTGCCTCGTCCGGCCGTGAACTGCGTCTGTTTCCTGGGTCGCCTTCACTTCACTGTTACGAGGCAATTGTCACGGTCTTCGGTTTTTGCACTTTTTGACCTTCAATTATCCTGAAATTCGACCTCGACCCTTCCACACGTGCTAGGACCTGAAATGTATCAAAACAAAGTAATCTTGGCAACCACCACAAACGACATTCAACTGTATTAAAATTGTTCAAAAGAAGAGTTCTCACATTATTCATCAACCAACACACAACATGCCTCGACGACTCACCAATCACAGTTACTCATGCATGAAAATCACATCATAGGAATGAACGATCGAGCAACCTAGGTCCTCACCGGGGTAAAAAGAAATGAACAAAACATGATGAAGAATCGCTCACTTTCGATCAGTGGGGTCAGGACCATTTGATGCAAAATATGTGCATATTCACACTCAATCCTAACGTCCTTTTACCATGACGATAGCCTTTAAATGTTAGAGCTCACAAGATGGGTGTCGTTGCTAGCTTGTCCGGAGGTCTTGGACACATGTTCAAATGAATGGATAAGGTCTAGGACATGGGGAAAAGGCTTTTTGGGTGGTGGCAAACATAGCACAAGGTTCCACATTTCCATCCTAAAACCACAAAAGGTTCTAAGGTTTCGACTAGAACCTTCCCTACAAACAATGGCCACTAGCATCGGCCAAAAACCGCACTTGCCACTATTCCAAACCACAACCAATCACCAAACCATATCACTCAAACTTTCTTGCTACATTTGCAATTCAATTTTAAGCACAAGATTGTAGAGGTCAACAACATGTAAGTGTTCATATAGCTTGCATGCTAAGCAACACTTCTAAGAGCAAGTTCAAAATTTATTATATTTTTGGTGGTCACTCTCTTTTCTTCTTTGCCCTCTTATTGATCTCTTTTTTTCTTCTTTTCTTATCTTTTCTTTGGGGGCTAAAGAGATCTATAAACATGCCACATTTTTTAACTTACCGTACAATGCTCACTTTGAAAAACTACCTCCACACTCACTTCACCTCTTAGCAAAACCATACACAAATCACTCATGTGGAACCTCGTTTAAGCTCAAATGGTATGAATGGAGCTTCCAAACACAAGGGTGAATCGATAACGGTGTAGACACGAAGAAAGTAGGGTCGTTCTATCTAAATCAATCAAGCTCAAGTAGCGAGAGCTACCTAAAACGAGAGCGACCCTTAGACACACATCTCAAAGGGTTGACTAGGGGATAATGAGATCGGGACGGTCAACATTTGGTTCGTGGACTAAACCTATGCCTCCATCTTCCTCGCTAGAAACAATGTGAATGCTACACATCATTTAAAGGGGGAACTATTGCACAAGAATGAAACGAACGGCACAAGTCTCACATGGCTTCCTAGGTGCTCAATCATTCAGTCTCACACCCTAAACTCGATGCATAGGAAACTGTGAAAAGCGAGTAATCGATTCAAACATCTATCGGTTCACAAACACATGAGAAATGAACCTATGCACACACCTAATACAAGTCTCAGTCGTCATCATAGGATGCACATAAACACAATCAAACATCCATAGACCATGCAAATAACCACGAGATTCAAAACAAATCACCACAAGGTGCCACTATGATCATGCAAATGAAGAAGTTGTTATGCTTGGAGCCCTCAAATTTTAAAATTTTGGGCATACATATAGCCTCCAAAGCATTCAAAATCACACCAAACATTCACACACACATGTATAAATGGACTACCCCCCCCCCCCACACACACACACTTAAGCTCGACATTGGGACCTCAATGGTGGAAAAGAAGGGGATATAACGATGTTACCGGTCAAGTTGTGAATGTTTGTGCTCGGGAGCGGAGGGCGGGGTGAGATCCGGAAGAGCATGGTCACGTCCAAAACACCACCAAAATCTCTTCAATGGTCTTCTACTGGAGCGGAAAGCAAACAAACCGATGGTAGATGGGTTGCCTCCCACCAAGCTCTTCTTTAATGTCATGAGACGGACGGTTGCTCCTCAAGTTTTGGTCCAACCAAAACCTCCTTGAAGTTGAGGTTCTTGTCGGTGAGGTGAAATCTAAAATCACGAGCATTGGACGAATCCATGATTGAGAGCTCGTGAACTTGATCAATTTTGAGGCTCCACCCACGAGACCTTTTCTTCTTACTTTCTTCACTCTTCTCTTTGTTCCATACCATGTAGTGCATCATCGATTTACCACCATCGCATCCACCAAGAGGTATCGCCGATGGTTGGCCTTGGCTTGGCAAAGAGACGCAAATGGGTCCTTCTCCAAAAGCGCATCGATGTCGGGTGGAAAGCTTTGTTCGCCTTGTAACTTGTTGAAACTTCATCCACTAACGACCTCGTCTTCATCTTGGACCTCACTTGCTTCTTCTACTTCTTCTTCAACCTCCCTTCTTCAATTTCCTCCCCTTGGGAACACTCCGAGATTCTTCCCCCTCTTCATTGATTTCTTCCTCCTCTTCAACCTCTTCTTTCTCTTTCCCTTTCATGTCTTCAAGAATGGTTTAGAGGGCAAGGCGCCATGCAAGATCATAGAAAGGATTCTCTTGCTCCTCCACACTCGTATCTTGGTCTTCGAAGTTGCTTTCGGGAAGGGAAAGTGATGGGAGTCCATCAATGCAACCTTCTTGTTCATCCTCACCACGGGAGCTCTCCGTGGTGAGTTTCTTCTTGTTCCACACGGTTGTCATTGAGAGCCCCCTTCAAACCTCCTCTTTCTCCTCCAATAATGAGAGGCGATAGCTTTCACAAGCTTGTGCCACTTTCTCTTCAAGTGTCAAACCAGGAGGAGGGAAGGGGCTGGAAATCCATGTCGGAGCTCGTTCTTTCCAACGTTCTCATGGCTCGCCTCTTCGACTTCCTCTCTTCCTTCCCATGGTAGGAGGCGATTGTGAGCAAGTTGTGCACATGCTTGCTCTACAAACCCTCATAGCCTCTCCGTGCGTCCGACGGAGCTCCTCCGCCTCCTGAAGAAAGGTTGAATTTGATAGGGTTGGCGATTTGGAGGTCCTTGCTAGAGCACCCTTCATCGGTGCCCCGGGCGAATCGCTCCACCATGAGCTCTAATTTGCTCTTGTCTCCGATTGTGGAGTGGCACATGGGTCGTGAGTTTTGTCCAATGAAGGCTTCCATGGCCAACTCCAACTAGGATTTCTCCTCTGGTTGTGGAGGGGAACCTTCTTGATATGGGGAAGCCTATTCATACCCCGAATGGTATGGTTGTTCTTCTTGGAAGGACGGTTGGTAATAGAACCCATATCCTTGACTTCCACCTTCTTGTTCACTCCATGAAGCTCCGGGGTAGCCCCATTCGGGTGGTTGTGGATACCCCCACCCTTTTTTAGAAGCCATTGGGATCCATGATTCATAACCTACACAAATAAAAACACAAAAGAAAATCAAACAAACACAAACCACCCTTCAAGATGAATAATGGGTAAACAAAACACAACACGAAACATAAAACATAAAACTCGAACAAAAAGGCAAGATAGAAAATGCTAGAGTAACACTAAACGACCTTTTCAAAATAATGGACCGCAGTTCCCCGACAACGGCGCCAAAAACTTGACTTGCACAAAACTACACCACAAATTAATCCCGACTAGAGCCCAAGTTTTTTAAACTCTAGCCAGGTGGCAGTATAGAGCAAGTATTTAAATTGTCAACCCGAACTGGTCCGTGTACCCCTACTTCAATCGCTTAGGTTGTTATCCAGGCAAACAACTTTTGGGTTTAGAGCTAATGAAACTACAAACTAAACTATCAAGGAAAAGTAAATAAAGGAAAACTCTAACTAAGGGAGCTTCACCCAAGAGTTGCTTCCGCCTAACTAGCTACCATGACTTGTTGGATTGAATGGAGTCGTGTGGCATATGTGGTTGTGAACCGCGGGGTTGAGCAACTAGTGACCAATCTATCACGGAATCAATTCACTACCGATCGATTTGTCACGGAATCGATCCACTCATCAAGTCTAGGGGTACCGCTAGGAGGAGCAACTAGTGATCCATTTGTCACGGAATGGATTAGCTAGAGATCGATTTGTCACGAGATTGATCCTCTCACTCAATCTTTAGTGGTTTCCTAGGTCTTTCCCTCAAACCGGAGTTTGAGCAGCTTAATCACAACCAACCTAGATGCAAACTGGTAACCGCAAACCGCAGAGGGATGCAAATATGGTCGTAGACCGCAATCTCGACTGCTAAACCGAGGTAAACATTATAGGCCGTGTCACTCGAACCTCTCGGTTTATGAAATCGGTGGTGACTTACTCCCTCACTCAACTCAAGGGTTGGATGGCTTAATCGCAATTAACCAATTTGCTTAAGTCAACATTGAGGGTTTCCCTAACTTAACCTAGTTAGGTGGCTTAGAAAGCGGAAGGAAAACCAACTGGATTGAGTCTCCCTTGGAAGGAGTAATAATAATAATAATAATAATAATAATAATAATAATTCCCACTTAATACCTCTCTTTTCATAAGAGGTTTTTAACTTACACAAGGAAACTTCCCAACAAAGAAATAACGAGTTCAGTAACTATAGAAATAAAAGAAAAGATCTGCAACGCATGCACGTGTCACTCATAATGCATCATTCTTTGCTTCAAGGATCACCACCAATGCATATCCGTAAGTACATGCATTGAAAAATTCTTGCATAACTTTTTTTTACTTTATTTCATGATATAAGTTACTCGTGGTACATGAATATGAAATTGGTCATTTGTCTTGGAACTCAGATAATCCTGGTCAAAAGACTATAGGTCTAACATGTTTCTCAAGTCAAAGAATCCACGCCTTCCATTAGACTACAACTGTGACTGGGTACTCTATGTTGTCGACAACCAATAAATGCAACCCTTCTTCTATGACAATCATACCTTGCTCATTTGCCATGCTGAAGTGTTCACAAGGGCTCACTTCATACTCAATTTCTGCATTTTCCCCTGCATTTAGGTTCACAGTTTGGAAACCAACTAATCTCTTCATTGGCCTCCCATTACCAACCATTGGTACTCTCACAAACAACAGTACTGGATGCTTACCAGCCATCTCGCCTTGGTTCACAACCCGGACAGTGACAATAAACCTTTTCTTCTCACAAAGTTCTTTGTCTATCTCGGACACTAGCCTTTGTCGGACTGTATTCGACATCTCATCTCTTAATGCTTTAAGGTAGATCTTCTTTGACGAAGAAGAAACAATTTCATATGAGTAGTTGGAGTAGCTGAGACCATAACCAAATTCAAACACCTTAGGTCCCTTGTAGAATCTATAAGTCCGGCCCGGATAACCCGTTGATGGATCTGGACGCATTCGCATATCTGTCATTGGTACTCTGATGAAGTCTTTCGGATACCATGTCACCGGCAATCTCCCTCCTGCAAAATCACCATGAACAACCCCGTTGATGGAATGAGAATTGCTCTTAACTCAATCTACAATACACATAATGTGAATTACGAATATTTCGAAGAAGTTTGTTCGAGTAGTGGTATGCTTTGTTGCCTGGGTTGTGGTCGCCAAAGATGATCTGTCCAATAGCAAGTCCTCCTGCTTCACCTGGATATCCTGCCCACAAGATGCTTCCAATGTTGTTGTCATACTTGGCAAAGCTTATGTCCACCGGACCACCACAAAGAAGCACCAAAACAATTGGTTTCTTGGCAGCTCTTGCTATGCTTGTTATCAGCTTCTGCTGCTTACCGGGGAGAAGTAGTTCTTCCCGGTCATGGTCCTCTCTCTCTTGAGTTTGATCCAGTCCCATGATCAGCACCACTTGGTCTGCTCCTTTTGCCACATCCACTGCCTGGTCAATCTTGGCACTAGAACATTGAACAGAATCACAACCGGGATGATACATGATCTTCTTCTTCTTCACATAATTTTGCAGGCCTTGCAATGGTGTCACAATCTTGCAAGGAGGGCCTGCATAGTTCCCCAGAAGTGTCTTCGAAGCATTGGCATTGGGGCCTATTACGGCAAGGGACGATGACAGGGTTTTGGATTTGGCAAGGGGGAGGAGGCGATGGGAGTTCTTCAGCAGCACAATGCCATGAAGGGCTGCTTCAAGTGCTAGATCCTGATGCTCCTCTGAACATGCTTCATCTGGACCGATGTCGCCGTAAGGTTGTTTGGCCGGATTGCCATTGAATAGCCCTAATCTCATCCTCACGGAGAAGAGATTTTGGAGGGCTCTGTCTATATCCGATTCCAGCAGTCTCTTCTTCTGCACTGCTGATTTGGAGTAGTTCTTCAAGTAGTTGCCACAGTTGACATCCATCCCTGCATTTTTTTTTTTGGGTCCATAAATCAGGTAGTCAGTGAGTGGCTACGCAACTGCACGTATTTGAAGTTGGTTGGGTGTGGTAATGGTTACCAGCTTTGAGCACGGCAGCAGCTGCATCTTCTGGGGTTTTGGCGTAACTCTGATTCTCATGTATGATGGATACTGCATCACAATCTGAAGTTATGTACCTGTAGATATTACAAATATTATCATCGGTTGTGGAGTTAATTAACTAGCACATTTTCTCTCATTCTGATCCTTGTTTGTTTTTTTTTTATAGTCTAGGAAATATCAGGGGAGTAGTGAATTTGAATGAAGGGTAGAATTCAAGTTTTGACGGATGTTTACCCATTAAAGTTCCATTGGCCCCTTGCTGTGTTGGTGAGGAGATCATGGTCAGCACAATTAGGGACTCCATTGACACGGTTGTAGGCGCACATTATCCCGCTGGCTTTTCCTTCTTGGATGCAGCTGTGGAAGGGTGGCTGGTATGTGTCTGCCAGGTCCTGTTTCGTTACCTAACCCACCCAAAATAGAAAAGAGAGAAACCAGAGTCATCACATATGAAACAGTTTTTCTAGTGTCAGGAAAGAGTATTGGCAACACACTTCATTCCTATTTCAGACGGAACCAAACACATGGGTGAGTAGGGTACACAAGCAAAGCAAAAGAAGAAGAGTTCCAAATTCAATCAACAACGCCCCTAGCCAGCACGGGGACCCATATGTGAAATATAGAATAGGGGACAGCAACGGCGGATCTAGAACACAATAAAGCACTCGGCTGCATTTGAATATAATATTAGATCTCGTAAACAAAATAGTCAACATTCCAAAATTTTAGTATTTCAATAAGAAAATAATTACAAAATTACCAACGGTAACAGACATATGGCTAATATTTTATATTTTGAAAGGTTTGGCTAATAATATGGAAAGTCTCAAAGGTTTGGTTAATAAATTATATTTACCCAAAAATATATAATAACTATAGCTATTCAATCAATGAAAAACTCATCGCGTATTTTGTTGCGCAAATTAGTTCACATATTTCATTGCTTAAAATGTCCACTCCAGGTAGCCATTATAAACGGGCAAGGTCAACACTAGACGAATCATCCAACAAATCAATTTGTTTAGAGGGTTTTCTTATTTAAAATGAAAATCATTCGGGCTAGAATTTTTAGGCTAAATTGTGAGTAGTTGCTTATATATGTTTATCTAGACCGGTTTCCAGGCTACACAAAATTCTATTATCAAATAACACTCGACCGACTTTTAAATAATACTTGGCCGAATATCTAAAATGAACAAATTTGTAAGCATTATATTAGCTCTGAATCCGGAGGAGGGCTAGGCCGTGGTCCGGGTTGGCCCAGCCGTAGATCCGCCTCTGGCAGAGAGATCTGGATCCAATATTTGTTTGTTACTGTTCACTGAATCGGTTGGTCCATGGCCTCGCCCCTAGAGAGAGAGAGAGAGAGAGGTCCACCAGCCACTAATTGCAAACTTTGGAATCCCTCCATGAATAGGACAAAGCAAGTTGTAGCATGCAGCAACTTGCAGTTTGGATTTATACGAAAACCGCAAGTTCAGCCTCCCATCCCATGGACCAACGTCCAACAAGCAAGCGAATCTTGAAACGCTAGCTAGCTACTAACTACTAATTCATCATATTATTATATCTTGTCATTTAAATCGCGGTTTATTTTGTTTTTACCCCTTTTCAATGAAGCATTATTATTGATTTCAATGACCTCCAGATTCGACCAGTAACCAATGCTTACTTCTTTATGCATCACTATTCCCCGCATTAAAATATTGTAATTTAGGCTACATCTTATTAGTTGTAATTCAAATTTCAAACTTTTTACATAAACAGAAATGAGATTAATCATAAACAAAAATTGATATATTTTTATAATATTATACCATAAGAATAGAACTTGACGTAAATAAGACTATATTTGGTGATCTAAAAATATATCATGGTGGTAAGCATATACAATAGCAAAAAATGGTGATATATATGCTGGTGGAATATACTTATCATTACCTACCATCGTTTACCAACATCTGTAACAATGAACGTGGTAGAGGGTGACAAATGGTTGTAGAGGGTGGTAAACTGGTAATGGGTGGTAAATTTAACTTAAAACTTGAAAACTTTTGCGCAGATTAAATATATTATTTATATTCAAAATGATATAATTTTTTATATATTTTGTATAAAGCATTTTCGAATAAAAAATACAATGCTATTAAAAAAATAGGGGAATAAAAAGCCCTTTGATCTAAAAAAAGATATATTTCCCTATTTAAAATCAATGTTCCAAATCTAGTTGTGAACAATTGTGTAACCTTAGGTTATGCAAAAAATCCTAGACCCACAAAATGGGATATACCCTTTTCATCTTTTATTCATGGTTAAGAGTGTTTATATGATTACCATGACTATTACCAAATCATTTGAAAAATATATCTTAATTACACCATCAAATTAACATAACAATTAAATTTGGCAAGCCAAAGTTTAATCAAGTTAACCAAAATGTCACAATTACACGCAAATATTTCCCTTTTAATTCACCAATCCACTATATAACGAAGGAATGATAGTCCGTTTAGAGAGTAATCCCCCCAAATCTACAATGGAGAACTAATTACTAATGCACTTATTATGGGCATAGGGTTCAACTAATAATATTGTTTGTGCCCGCTGTTAACCTTGTCTGCTCAATTTTCCCAATATGAGGGTACTGATCAACTGATAATCAATTCAAATTAACCAAATGCTAACAATTAAAATGATTACCATGAATTTTTATTCACTGAACAGGGCTAAATAGGAATTGGCGGTACTGATCAACTAATGCATTTTGAATAATAAAATTAATAATTAACATAGATTACATGTCTGTTAAGATTTATACAGGAGCGAGGAAAATCTGACTAGACCCGATAAAAATATATAATAATAATAATAATTATAATAATTATTATTATTGTGGAAATATCCTAGTTCATGAGACTTTTGTCATAATGGATAGTTGGTGTACTTAGAAATTAAAATTTCTTACCCAAAAAAAAAAAAGAAATTAAAATTCCTTATAATTTGAATGTTGAAATGGCATTAGTCAAAAAGTAATTGTTGTTGGGACGGAGAGACTGAGAGAGCGCGAGAAGAGAAGAGAAGGGAAGCAAACTAAACTTACTTTGGCGTCAAAGACGAACCTGTCAATCCCTTTCCAGTGATCCAAATCGTAAGCAGTGAAATGCTTGCAGCAGGCCGACGCCTGAAGAATTTGCGTGCCATGGACCGCCGTTCCTTGGAACGTGTCCCCTTGAATCCCTCTAACATACGACGTCGCATAGTGGCCGGTCAAGGTCGGGTCTTCCCCTGGAGTCTCCTGCCCTCTCCCCCATCTGGGGTCCCTGTAGATGTTTATGTTGGGCGCCCAAAACGTCATCCCTGTAGCCTGCCCCGCGTTGTATATCGCTCGCGCCTCCCTCCCCACCGCCTTCATTAATGGTAATTCATTCCGTCAGTTAGTTACGACTTACGATTGATTCAGATCTATATATCTAGCTAGTCCCCAGTCCCCACCAAATTAAAAAATATGACTCACTTGGCCAATGCGGTACCAAAGGCGGGCGTCGAAGGAGGCGGCGGAGAGGATGACCTGAGGGAAGCTGGTGGCGGCGGTGACGGTGCCGTTGAAATGGATGCCCTGAGGGACGCTGGAGATGAAGGCTACGCCGTGGAGGGCCTCCGACCACCACTCGTACGCCGGGATTCCCAGCCGCGGGATGGCCGGCGCGGTGTTCACCAGCTGCCCCACCTTCTCGTCCAGGGTCAATCTGGAGACGAGGTCTTTGGCCCTCTCGGAGATGCCCAGTTTGGTTTCGCAGAATGTGTAGTCTTTTGCTGATTCATTGCAGCCATATGGAGGCTGCCCTGCGTCAACTGATGATGAACCAACAACTAGTATTTGAAACAGGAGGAGCAGGAGGAGAGCTGAACTACAACTCAATCGGCTGACCAAGATTTCCATTGTTCCTTCTTCTTCTTTTTTCTTTTTCCCCCTTCCTCCAGGCTCCAACCCTCCGGCGTTTCTGAAAGGGAAGAGAAAGGCTGTATTATTTGGGCCGGTGCAGCCAAAATAGGAGTTGGACGGGGACTACGACAAGGATTAAAATGAATATTTAATTGAGATATTTGTAAGAAAAGGGCCCCTGCTGCTGGCACAAGTAGTGGTACAACAAAGAGACAAGATCCTGGAGCAAAGAGACAAGATGTTGCTAGTGTTGGCGTCGATTCACAATCGCGTGCTGCTCAGGCAGTCTCAGTTGAGCTAATAGATGAATGAGCAGCAGCAGCTGAGGATTGAACCAGAAGAGAAGTGCAGGAAGGCAGCTGCTGCAGGCTGAAGATGTTTGCAACCGAGGATCACCAGCCCAGGAGAAACGACGGCGTTTTGCTCTAATCCGGAAAGCTGCTTTGGAGCAAAACGGAGACGTTTCATCAATAGAAGACAGAGATGGCTTAATACGATGTCGTCCTTCTTAGTTCGTTGATTGCAAGTTTAATTGTGTCTTGTGGACACGTGCTATTGTTTTATTGGTTGTTTTTAATTAGTTAGTTAATACTGTAGATTAGCCGTTGGTTTCTACTTTCCTCTGTAAAGGTTGTTGGGTATATATTGAGAAATGCAGAAAACGAAGCTCTCAAGTTTTTGAGAACCTTCACCAAAAACCCTAGCAAAACTCTGCTGTTCTTCTTTTCTTCTCATGGTATCAGAGCCTGGTTGGCTCTGGTAACCCAGATCCAGGTTTCTACACTACTTCTTTCCCCTTTTACGATTTACAGATGTCGATTCCAGAAGCTCAAGTTGATGGGTTTGTAGCTGATGAGGTAGAGACTGAAGATGAAATCGCCTCTGCCAACGACGCTACTCTTCCACGAACCCCTCAGGGCGTGAACTCTCAACGTCAGATGGATCAATTTGTTCCTCCTGTGGTTCCTCGCTATGAAGATCCATATCTTAACCCCTACTACTTACCTCCTCACGATGGCGGCTTGACTACCATCATCTCTATGAAGCTCACTGACCAGAACTACAATCTCTGGAGTCAGGTAATGGAGCTAGCTCTCAGTACTAAGAACAAACTGCAGTTTGTAAATGGGTTGATTCCAGTACCTCAGATTGGAGACCCTATTTGGCAGTCATGGCATAGATGTGATAGCACAGTGCGCTGTTGGATCTATAATTCTCTTTCTGATGACATTGCTAACAGTGTTGTTCCTTACAAAGTGGCTAAAGATGTGTGGGATAACTTGAAGGATAGATTTAGCCAAGCAGACAACATGAGAGTCTATGAATTGAATGTACAGATTGGGAAGTGTGTGCAAGAAAATCTTACTGTTACTCAATACTACACTGCACTTACTACTAAGTGGCAGGAGTATAAGATGTATAGGCCTATTTCTTGTTGCCCATGCCCTAATAGTCCTTTTTTCACTATTCAAAGATATCAAGAGCATGATCTTATCATTAAGTTTATGCAAGGACTTAATGATACCTATCAAACAGCCAGAACACAGGTTCTGATGAATGCTCAGTTGCCTCCTATTGAGTCGGTTTTCAAGCAAATGGTTCAATTGGAGAGACAAATGAAGGCTATGAGTTCTGAGAAGGAAAAGGGACGTGTTGAATCAGTGGCCTTGATGGCAGGGCAACCAAACAAGCAGCAGAAGGGTGGACAAGGTGGAAGAAATCCCAGAGATTACAAGGATGGGAAAAAGTTTTGTAGGTTTTGCAAGAAGGAATACCACACCATCGATGAATGTTATAAGTTGAAAAACAAACAAAGCAAAGATGGTGAAAGTTCCTTTGCTGGATCAGTTGAAACCACACTGTCTGAATCAGGTGGTACTCATACAACTGGTTCTGGTGGAGGTAAGGGGGAAGCAGATTTGATGAGTCTGCTTACTCCTAATCAGTTTGAGCAGCTCAGAACCATGCTCACCAGATCACCTTCTGCATCACCTTCACCACCAAATTCACCTGGAATGCATCATGCTGCTGTGGCAGTAAGAGCTTCACAGTCTGCTTCTCACTCTGGGAAGAAATCTGCTGGTTTTCAGGCTCCAGCAACTTATGCCTCTAATTCTTCAGGTAAACAAGCTTTCTCTACTATGGTTGAATCACCTCGTAGTATAGTTTCGGTCCTGGATACAGGGGAAACAGATCACATCATATGTGATAAGAGTTTCTTTATGAAGCATAGAGCTTTGAATCAAGTGTTTGTGAATTTACCAAATGGACAGCAAGTCCAAGCAACTCACATAGGAATTGTTACTTTGCCTTGTGGGTTATTCATTACTCAAGTTCTGTTTGTTCCTTCTTTTGCTTACAATCTTGTTTCTGTAAGCAAATTAACTCAAAACCATCCAGTTTCATTAACCTTCAAATCAAACTTCTGTTTGATCCAGGACCTTATTACTCGGAGGAGGATTGGTTTAGCCCAAGTCAGTAGAGGTCTTTACCTGTTTACAGAGTCCAGGAGTCAGGAGTTTGAAGTTTCTAAGGATTCACAGAAGTTTGCAGCAGGAGTGTTTAATTTCCAGAATCAAGACTTTAACATCTGGCATGCCAGATTAGGACACCCTTCCTTGTCTAGATTGAGAGTAGTCAAACAAAGTTGTAATGATGTTTCTTTACCCTTAGCACAACACTGTGAGGTTTGTCATTTGGCTAAACAAAAGAGGTTGCCATTTCCTGTAAGCACCTCAGTTAGTACTCATGCTTTTGAACTTGTGCATGTTGACATTTGGGGGCCATTGAATATAGTTTCTAGAAATGGTTTCTCCTATTTCCTCACTGTTGTGGATGATTACAGTAGAGCAGTGTGGGTTTTCCTTCTTAAATCAAAGGCTGAGGCCAGGCCATCTCTTCAATCTTTCTGTGTTATGGTTCAAAACCAATTTTCTGTTTCTGTTAAAAGAGTTAGAACAGATCAAGGCCAAGAGTTCCACATGACTGATTTTTATTCAGCTCATGGTATTGTTCATGAAATGAGCTGTGTCTATACAGCTCAACAAAATGGGAGGGTAGAGAGAAAACACCAGCATTTGCTTAATGTAGCTAGATCTTTGAAGTTTCAATCAGGTTTGCCTTTGGTTTTCTGGGAAGATTTTGTTCTTCATGCAGCATACCTGATTAACAGAACACCAACACCTATTCTAGACCACAAAACACCATTTGAAATCCTGCATAAAGTTCCCCCTGACTATATGAACTTAAAGGTGTTTGGCTGTTTAGCTTATGCTACAGCAGTAGAGGGTCATAAGTCTAAATTTGATCCTAGGTCTAGACAGTGTGTGTTTCTAGGAATCCCTAATGGCATTAAGGGATACAAGTTGTTGGATCTGGCTACCAACAAGGTCTTTGTTAACAGAGATGTTGTTTTTCATGAGCAGATTTTGCCTTTCAAAACAGGCACATCTGACTCAGATTCTGCAGAAGAAGAGCTTCCCTCACAGCCTTCTTCTGTTCCTTTGTCTTCTTCATTTCCAGAAGAATCTTCTTGTTCTGGTTCTTCACCAGCTCTTGAACCTGAGTTGACAGAATATCCTTCTCCTTCTGTCACCACATCACCCCAATTTACTTCACCAGTTTTTCCTTCTTCCACAAGTCCAGACACTTCAGTTAGAGGTTCCTCCTCCTCTTCTTCTGATTTGTCTCATACTCCTGCTCCTCCTCTCACTCCTCCAACCACACCAGTAGTACCCCTTAGAAAATCAACAAGGCAAGTAACATTTCCTAAGAAGTATGATGATTTCTATGTGGGTTGGAATCAAGTCAGTTTTGGTCCCAAGTTGGTTATCCCTCAAGACTTGGCTCATCTTTCACCACAGCAACAACACTTTGCTTTAGCCCTTGCAGCAGCCTTTGAGCCTTCCTGTTATGCTGAGGCTGCTCAAGACCCTAGGTGGAATGCAGCCATGATTGAGGAATTGCAAGCATTGTTTGATAATAATACTTGGGACATCACTGACTTGCCAGGGGGAGTGAAGGCAGTTGGTAACAGGTGGGTTTTCAGGATCAAGTACAATCCTGATGGAACAATTGAGAGATTTAAGGCACGTTTGGTTGCCAAAGGATACACACAAGTGTATGGCATTGATTATTATGATACTTTCTCACCTGTGGCCAAGCTGACTTCTGTAAAAATGTTGCTAGCTGTTGCATCTGTTAACAACTCGCATTTGCATCAAATGGATGTTAACAATGCTTTCTTGAATGGTGAATTGGAGGAAGATGTGTACATGGAATTTCCAGAAGGCACGAGGGATAAGCCTGAGTACAAGGGGAAGGTTTGCAAGTTGAAAAAGTCTCTCAATGGTTTGAAGCAAGCCAGCAGGATGTGGTATGCCAAATTAACAGAATCTTTGCTTGCTAATGGATTCAGACAATCCATGTCTGATTATTCAATCTTCTTAATTGAAATTAAAGGACATTTGGTTGTCCTTATTGTCTATGTGGATGATATTGTGGTTGGTAGTGTGAATCTGGAAGCAGTCATTGCAGTTAAGAATATGCTGAAGTCCTTGTTTAAAATGAAGGACTTAGGAGAGTTGCAGTATTTCCTTGGCTTGGAAGTAAACAAAACTGCCACAGGGATACATGTTTCTCAACGAAAGTATTGCACAGAACTCTTGAAGGAGGCAGGATTTGATGAGTGCAAACCTGCAAAAACCCCTTCCAGCATAAAACAGGTCCTTTCAGCCTCAGATGGTGATCCTTTTCTGGAGGTTAGCAAGTTTAAACACTTGTTGGGACAGTTGCAGTATCTGACAAGTACTAGACCAGACATAAGCTTTGCTGTTCAACAGCTTTGCCAATTCCAAGATTCTCCAACCACAGTTCATTATAAAGCTTTGTAGAGGGTGTTTAGGTACTTGAGTAATTCACCTGGTCAAGGCTTGTTCTATTCCAAGGACTCTGCTGTGCAATTAACAGGGTATAGTGATTCTGACTGGGCCACATGTCCTGATTCAAGAAGATCTTTGACAGGGTTTTGTGTTTTTCTGGGGACAAGTTTGATTAGCTGGAAAACAAAGAAGCAGAGTACAGTTTCCATATCTTCCTCAGAGGCAGAATATCGAGCTTTGGCTCAGCTCAGTTGTGAAGTTCAGTGGTTGGTAAGATTGCTTTATGACTTTGGAATTGCTCACTCTCAACCAGCCTTGGTTTACTGTGACAATCAGTCGGCAATACACATTGCCAGGAATCCAGTGTTTCATGAGCGAACGAAACACATTGAGGTTGATTGTCATGTCATTAGAGAGAGACTGATGAATGGTTTGCTTGATTTGAGACATATTTCAACTACCTACCAGTTAGCAGACATCTTTACCAAAAGCCTTGGTATAGATCTCTTTAACATGCTGATGTGCAAGCTGGGAGTCTCTGGAAGACACTCGCCAGCTTGAAGGGGGGTAATAGATGAATGAGCAGCAACAGCTGAGGATTGAACCAGAAGAGAAGTGCAGGAAGGCAGCTGCTGCAGGCTGGAGATGTTTGCAACCGAGGATCACCAGCCCAGGAGAAACGACGGCGTTTTGCTCTAATCCGGAAAGCTGCTTTGGAGCAAAACGGAGACGTTTCATCAATAGAAGACAGAGATGGCTTAATACGATGTCGTCCTTCTTAGTTCGTTGATTGCAAGTTTAATTGTGTCTTGTGGACACGTGCTTTTGTTTTATTGGTTGTTTTTAATTAGTTAGTTAATACTGTAGATTAGCGGTTGATTTCTACTTTCCTCTGTAAAGGTTGTTGGGTATATATTGAGAAATGCAGAAAACTTAGCTCTCAAGTTTTTGAGAACCTTCACCAAAAACCCTAGCAAAACTCTGCTGTTCTTCTTTTCTTCTCATGAGCGGCGGACAGAACAGCTTCTAGTCAAGAGCCGTGAAGAGGTTTCAAAATGGATGCACGATTTAAGAGGTCAGGAAGCTTATTTCTCAGCACATATTGCTGATCTACAGAATAAACTCAGTTTTGCAGCTGCTGATGGTCGTTCCCAAGGATCTGTTGGTTTTAGAGCGCTTTGGGCGGTGGTTTGCTTTTGTTGATTTGGGAAATGCAATTCGGTTCTGTTAGGGTTTTTCCCCCATTGAAAACCCTTTAATTTCTCCATATCTTTTAGGAAGTTGAATTATCGTGTGGGAACAATGGAAAATGTCAGAGCTTTCTCTTGCAGTCTGGAATAGCAGTGTTGCTTCCTGGGGTGGGGGTTCATTGTCATTTCCATGGTCATCATATTCATATGTGATCACTTGAACAGCTTCTCTCGACAACCATGAGTTGTTTTATTCGATAATGGTTCTCTTGGGCATACTTATCCTCAATTATATATGTTCTGGGTTTCAAACTCTTAGCTGTCTTGCAACTCGTATAAATCTGATTTTTTATCGTTTCTTCATTGAAATTCAGTTTTCTGAACTTTTGTGCAGATCAGCAATGCTTGTAGAAATCTGTTGACCAGTCTGTTTGGGGTCTCTTTTATGTCTATCATAATCAGTCTTTACTTAGGGAATACAAAATAAGCCAGTTAGACCCTCATCGTCATCGGTATACAATCTTTTTTGCATGCATTTAAGCACGAAATGGGTTCTAAAGGGAGGCTAATTTTGGATCTTAATGAACCCCCTGCCGAGGATGATGAGGAGACTAGCAGCATCCTCTTGCAGCCAAAGAAGGCACTTCTTGCTACAACTCAACAGACTTCTGATTTGTTACATTCATCGGTAGGTGCAGAAGCAGTAAAGAATAACCGTGCCTTAACTGCGACAACAGAAAGTTTTCAGAATGAAGTCTCTGCATCTGAAGTTACCATCAAGAGGACATTCATTATTGATTTACAGTATAATTTTAGAGATAATAAACAGTAAGCATTCACAAAAAATGGTGCATTCATGTATTGCTCATTCAACTAAATCACAAAAAGCAACAAACAACCAAGTGGAAACTTTCTGTCCTGAACATGATTTTGGGGTAGTGACACAAGGTAATGATCCTTCAGCATTGTTCCAGGTCAGTTACAGCTGGCTTAGAGTTGAGCATTGTCTCTTCATTAATCTCTTATAACATATATGGCTTATTTGGTCTTACATCCCTGCCATATGTCAACATGCCAGGCTGGATGGATCCTATATCCTAATTCCCCAAGTCCACCAAGAATAAACATTAAGGGGTTGTTTGGAAGTTGTGATTGTTAGAGTTGTGTTTGTTGAATACATGTATTGTGCACAATACAATGTTTGGAAGAGCCAAAGTGTAAAACAATGCATGCATTGTTTTAGGTAGGTCCCACCAACAATCACAAAAAATGATGCATTATACAATCTCAACTAAAAGTTGAGATTGTTGTGATTGTTGGTTTTAGATTTGTGTCAACTTTTTCTTTCCATTTATATCTCCAATAGTTTTTGTCTTATTCTAAAAGTTGAGGGTAAATATGACATTTCCCCATAAATGTAACTTTATGTAAATCAATGCATAAAGTAGAATCTCAACAACCAAACAATGTATTGTTAAATTGTATCCATTGTATCAATACATGCATTTATATTATGGTGATTCATTACAATGCAACGATTTAACATTCGCAACTTCCAAACGACCCCTAACACAACAATTGGGGAGTCGATTGGTTCACATCAACTATCAATACAACTCTAGCTAACTCAATGGAAGTAAACTCAAGATAAATCCAGATTATATCAACATAGAAGCAGTTCTAGTGATCATCAACCTCAGAACTGAAACATAAATCAAGATAATGAGATGCCCTGAATAGATATGGTACTACAAACCTGGCAAATTGAGTTTCTGTTATCTGCCACTAGTAAATAGATTGATGCTACTCATGGTTCTACGGGATTAAGGATGGCTCAAATCTTTTGCCACTCAATCACGGAAATCAACACAAAAGAAAGAGAAAAAATTCATAGGGAAAATCATAAAATACACAAAGTAGACAAAACTCAAACTACAGAAGAGTGAAAAACATACCGCAGGCAAATGAGAAGTTGTGATGGAATTCTAGATGGCCAGTAATGCAAAATGAGCAACTAAATGTCATTGAGCACTAGCGCCGGTCACTCCTCTGCTTCTAGCCGGCAGCGTTTACCCTTATTGTAGCATGATTCATTCCACCGGTTTAACCCAAGCTTAGATCTGTTTGTGGATGGAAGACAAATATGAAAATTAAAAAAAATCAAAAGAGAGAAGAGAAGAGAAGGAAATCAAAGCCGCCGATCAGAATAAGACAAGGACGATCTGATTTGGGGCTTAGGATAGAGTCAGTAACCATTGGTTACTGATCTATGAGTAACTAAATCTGAACCTTTAGATCTAAGTGGACCTAGAAAATCTAGATCTAAGGGTTGTCAATTAAAGACATTTTATTTTCCCTAGTATACTCCTACTATCATATGCATTAAACCTTCTTACCATCATGGTATTAAATATGAGCATACCATATGGTAATGACTGGTAAAAAATTATTCAATTTTTTTTGTACTAAAAATATATTAAAGTGGATATAATTTTAAAGAGCACATTTAATCTGATTTATCTGTGCAAAAAATTTAATTTTGACTTAAAACGAGAAAGAAATCGTCCTTTAAATATTAGAGGGGAAAAAATAAAAGACTTTCCAGGAGAGAGATAATGCTGATGCCACGCGGATGTGGACAGGTTACTGATGGTTACTCACCATAAGAGTTACTAACCTGACCGCTCCCCTGATTTGGGGTTGAGGATGTGCAGTTAGGGGTGCTGGTTCAGTTCGGGTTGGGTAACCGAACCCAAAACCAGAGAAAACCCGGCAACCCGAAACCGTTACTGTACAACCCGAAACCGAACCCGAAATTGCAGCTTGCGGGTTTCGGTTGTTAGCTTAACCCAAATTGCAGAAGATGGGTTTTGACGACCGCTTTTGAGTTTCCCATGAGATCGCTGGCGGCGAGAATGATGATGGCGGCGAGAACGATGCGGCGAGGACGGTGACGGCGAAGGAGTTACACCGGGCGGGTTAACCATAATGGATACGACTCGTACATCTCCACAATCAAAGAATGGATACGACTTGGACAGAGATCTTCCACTTCGCCGTTGATCGGTTTCGACGGCCGCTGTTGAGTTTCCCATGAGGCCGCTCGCGGCGAGAATGACGATGGCGGCGAGAACGATGCGGCGAGGACGGTGACGAAGAGGGAGTTACACCGGGCGATGCTAGGTTTGAGCGTTTGCCGAAGGTAATGGCGACTTGAGGCGAAACATAGGGATTTCACCTCATTTACTGAATTCGGGTTCTCGGGCTGGTGTCGGTTTTCGGGTTTCACTGAAACCGAAACCACTGACAGCATATGCAACTTGAAACCGAGAAACCGAAAACCGAAAGAACATATATCGGTTCGGTTTCGGGTTAACCCGAAAAACCGAAACCAATCTGACACCCCTATGTGCAGTCTGATCTGTTGTTGGCTTAAAGAAGGAACGGTTGAGGAGAAGATAAGAGACGAATGGAAATCCCTCTTTCTAACCCTAATTCAAGAGATAAGAGTGAGGTTTCAGATGTATATAGTGATTAGTGAGTAGTAGACTCGTTCCCCATTTCTAGGTCCTTAAAAATTTAGTGTCGCATCATACCGCCTCACACTGCTTAGTCCCCGTCTAAACTCTGGTTAGCTCCGCTGAAGCGTTTTATCCACCTAATGGAACTCAGATTACTCGAATGCTCATCTCACTTTGACTGTCGCGAAGTGACTCGCTATGACACAACTCCTAACAATGGCCAAGTGTAACCAATGAAAGGGACTGCAGTATAGTGGCTCAAGTAATAAATATCGAATCCACGGGTCTCTAGAGTTACTATTACTCAGCTTCAGTTCATTATCTAGCAAACCAGATTAAGATAGAAGAACTAAAACTACTCTAGCAAACTACAGTTAAGGTTAATTTAATTACAGGTTGGGAACTCACTTAGGTATGATTCCCCCTAGCCACTAGCCAGATTAATGATTGATGATCTCTTACCTGCTTCACTTTCATTCACAATGCGGAGAATCCTTAACTAGACCTTGAGTCTCGACTAAAGGAACAAGGCCCTCTTGAGTCAATTGCCTAGAGGGACGTATCCTTCTCTAGAACAACCGATCAAGGCGTTCTGAACTAGACTCCCTCTATCGAAAGAGGTTCTCAATCGATACAAAGTAGTGAATCAACCCTCGACTAAAGCAGTCGATCCAATACTATCAATCTATGGTGCTCTATTGACCTAATCAGGTATTCGTTCTCATAGGATCAAAGCAGAATCAATAATCTCGACTAAAGCAGAATTGAATCATGAAAACATGCATAGATTGAATATGAACTCAAGATTATCAAGTCAGAGTACTCATACAATCATCCAATCAAACAAACATAGCTAGGGTTCCTCAAAACCTAAGTGAAGGGAAGTTACTCCATAGAGAAGAGAGAGACTGCAGTAAGAATCTTCAGATGATCAGTCTTCAAGTCCGGGCTTATTCCTCGAGCTTCCAAGGTGAAGAAATCCTCCAATTCCACTCCAAGAATGCCCTCAAATCGCCCCCTCTCTCTTTGGTTCGTCCCTTGGGTGTTTGGGATCCAAAACCCAGCTCTCCTCTCCTTTGGCTCGAATTTGGGTTAAAAAACCCGATTCTGGGCAAAACACGGTCGCGGGCACGGCCGTGCTTTGCTTTTGACCGCCCGTGTTTTGCCCCGTGTTAAAAACACGCTCGGGCGCGTCGGTCAAAACACGGTCATGCCTAAATATGGGCACGGCCGTGTTTTGATTTAGGCGCGCCCGTGTTTTTACTGCCGAACCTATTCCCCTATATTCAATGCTTCGTTTCTCCATCGTCCGGACTCCGAATCAGTCGCCGTTTGATCCCAGACGCTCGTAGTCTCGTCCTCTTTCTTTTCATGACAAGATTGCATGATTCTTTGTCCATAAAGTGGGGTAGAAATCCATTCTTCTTCAGGTCATGCCCGAGTTTCTTCTCCCTAATCGCCAATTGATCTCTGATTGACTTGAAACTTGCGCCTATGCTTCACTTTATGTGCTAGGACCTGAAATATGACAAAGGAACACGACCTAGCGTAAAATAGGCCAAAGAAGCAATAATGCAAGCTTAAACGATCAAGAAACAAAGGGAAAACATGTGCAAATATCGAGTCATCAAATCCCCCCACACTTAACCGTTTGCTTGTCCCCAAGCAAACCTAACTCAAACCAATGCAACTCTCCAGAGCTCTATAGCAACATACAACCCCGATCGTCGGTAGAGGATTTCCTAGATCATATAGCAGCTTACGAGGTCAACTGGTCTTCTAAGACGTTCCCTATCTCTCTCAATGCGAGTACTAGACTCAAGCCAGGATCATGAGAAAAAGTAGAAGTAAGACAGTCAGTTCATGGATAAAGGGACTCACACCATTCACAACCAAGGACTCGTTGTACCGGGGTGCTCTTTCACTTCATTTCACCGTTGGAACCCCTTTTTCACTTTCATTTTACTTACTTTTTTTTCCTTTTTATTCACTTAGCGGGGGTTCCAACTGCAGTCTTTTGCACGGTCGACCCTTATTAGTCGAGCAAGAGCAATTTCTGTACATCTGGCGCTCGCCAGAGTACTTCTTTTAACTCCTTTTCCTCAACTCGTGTGGAGGGTCAATGAAATTAAGGGGGGTCGGAAGCTCTATCCGTGCCCTTAAAAACACATCCTCGAGTAGGCAAACCGTTCAACGGGTGAAAATTTTACTTGTACTAGAGACAGCTTAGCTTCACCTTGTAGGAGTACCCCACTAAGGATCACTAAAATCTCTTCCAAAACCCGATTTTGTGCAATGAACGGTGCCACACACGTTGGGCTTACCCCATGTTTAAGATTTCAATGATTTCGACATGGAGGACCAACTGCTTCCCATTTTCTATATGAGCACCCTGTTCGATACACGAGTCCAAAACACAATCCACATAGAGTCACCATTACCACATGAATTCAACGGTCCTAGCTCCACTAATTCACAAAATCAACTGGCACATCAAAGAGCTAGATAGGAAAAATCTTATACTTCAACATCCTCCATAGTGCTACACTACCTCCCTAGGTTGCACATTACTATAGAGTCTGTCAATTCAAAGCATACTGAGTAGGCAATTTGCAAGGAAACACGTACTTGGAGCCCTCAAATTTAAAAATTTGGACAGTGGACTAGGCTCCAAGCACACAAACAGCCAAACATTCACCCGCATACATAATCGAACACCCCCCACACTTAAGCACGACATTGTCCTCAATGGAGGAAAGATAAGGAGGGTAGAACGAAGTTACCAGATCAAGGGTGAATGATGATGGACGGGGCAGGCGGTGCATTCCAGGAGGAGAGAGTAATCAGAACACAAACACCACACAAAATCTCACAAAGGTTGAGCTATTGACTCTAAAACCAAATAACAAAACTGACTCAACCGAGGAGAAATAGAGAAAGAAATGCAAACCGACTGGTTGGGTTGCCTCCCAACAAGCGCTTCTTTCACGTCGTGAGCCGGACGATGGCTCCTAAGTTTCGGTCCATGCTAGAACCTCCTTGAAGTTGAGGTTCTCGTCGATGAGGTGGAGTCTCAAGTCACAAGCAGGTGGTGTGGCAGGTGATGAAGGCTCGTGCACTTGATGCAGATGAAGTCTCCACCCTCGAGACCTCTTCTCCTCTTCTCTCGTCTCATTGCCCCAAGCCAGATAAGATAGCATCGATTGGCCACCACCGCGTCCACCAAGGGGAACCGATGTCGATGTGGCCTTGGTCTGGCAAAGAGACACTGCAAATGGGTCCTTGCCAAGCAGCTCCTCGAAGTTTGGTGGGGATATTACCTGCAACTCATGGCCGGTGCAAGCCTCTTCCACCTTAACTCCGTCATCAGCCTGGACGCCAATTGCTCCTTCAACCTCCCTTACTTCATGTGGTATCACCCCTGGGAAATGATCAAGAACTCCTTCTGCTTCACTTTTGTCACCCTCCACAACTTCTTTCTGCACCCTTTCTCTCTCTTCTTCTTCTAGCACGGATTGGAGAGCAAGTTGCCAAGTAATTTCTTTCATGAGATCTTCTTGCATCTCCTCACTCATGCCCACCTC